AGTGACAGAGTCGGGGGGAAAGGGTGACCGGAGGATCGGATGACGCTACACCACTAGGGAGCAGGGTGAGCGTTACTACCCTTGGTCTCGGAGTACGGGATAGACGAGACGGAGCTCCGAGTGAAGTTCTGGAGCGTTAACTCAGATTACTTGCAGGGAGTGCGAAGCAACGTTAATGATAAATCTGAAGTACAGTGCTGTAGTCTAAGTGATTAAATACTAAAGGGTCTTATTGTAATACGGAAAGGAGATATGTAAGGTTCCATGCGGAAGTAACAATAAGGTTATATCCGAAAGGAGTGGAAGAAGTCAGGTGACTTGGAAGAAGTAGTTTGGACAATAAGTAAGAAGTCCTGAGCGAGGCGGACAATAAGGATGTCGCCTTATGGCGCGATACGAACTTCTGAAGGAAGTCCGCCGCGCTCCGACGGAGTGGAGTCCGGAGTTAACGGAGCCATTCAGCCATCCTCGGACCTAGGTCCGAAGGATCGGGACATGGATATAACAGTATCCCCCTCTTGGGTTCGACTCCCTAGGCGAACCTCAAGGGTCCGGAGGAATACTGCGTGAATGATCGTGAAATGGATGGTGGATAATTAAAAAATTGATGATGTGGAAATTCACCGAATTTCTTCTGAGTCGCCAAGTGATCACGTGTCCGATGCCGTAAGTTGTTGACAGCAATCTTTTTCACTTCTCCTCCTACCGCCACCACCAACCACTCCGCAGCCAACACACAATGTCGAGCACCACCAACAACCAGGCAGGAGCACCCGGAGGAGGGAAGGAAGGGAACAACAGTGGAGTGAAGGGGAACGGAGGAGGTCGAGACAGAACGGGGAAGAAGAGGGCGGCGAACGATGAAGACCGCCAAAGGGCCACAGCCGAGGCACAGGCAGTGCGGACTGAGGACGCAAAGCGTCTGCAGGCCCAGCTGGCTGCGTTGCAGCAGTCGCGTGAGGCGAAGTTGGCGGCGGCGAGGGAGCTGGAGGCGATGGAGGACGACGAGCTCGCAACCATCGCGAGGAGGCTTTCGCTTCCTCCGGTGGAGCGACTCATCGCAGGACCGACGCGGTGTCGCGTCTCGGGGCGGACGGAGCAGACACCGAGTTCGGACTCGGAAGTAGGGTACGAGGCGGAGGATACGGAGGTGGACCAGCGCACTCCGGTGAAACGTGTGCTCGGGAAACAGACCAAAATGCTATATAATGCTGAAACGACGAGCAGAATGCTTCGCTGGCTAAGCCTAATCCGAAGAATGGCTACACCAACTAACAACTACTAACCAAATCTAACACCTTCACACCCCTTTCAAGGTCTATATTCGCCGACGAGTTGTGATTGCTTGTCCAAGATTACACGAATGTACTTCCAAGGACGAGGACCAGAGTTCGAGAGCAAGTTTGTTTGTATGAGTTGCGTGCTTAGCACAGGTTTGGCTCGAATAAGAGTTGAACAGAGTTCTGAACGCCTTAGTCGCAGTTTGTTAGATTTTAAAGCCTCACAGCTATGTAGCGTCCGATTCTCTTTGTCTGGGTCAAGTCTGTGTTCTCTTTGTCTGAAACTCGCTATGTCTGGTAACTTTCTTTGTCTGGAACTCGCTATGTCTGGTAACTTTCTTTGTCTGGTAACACGGTGAGGTTATGGGTTTTATGGGTTGACTTATAGTCCGAAATCCGATTCCAAAACGAAACTTGTTATTATCAAACTAAACTCGTTATGTGAGTTAGCCTTAGCTGAACAAGCCCTAGAATTCCCCTGGTACGCGGTGCTTTATTGCTACCTGCTCTTTTAGGGAGGATCCAGTGCCTATCCTACTAATTCTACCCTCCTTTTATATCTACTCAAAACGTATTACATGTGCGCTATTATGCTACTGCGGGTATCTATCCGAGAATTATTAAGTACAGTAGCGTCAGCTCAATACAGTTGTGCAGGCTCAAACATTATCCCAACCCCTAATAAGCTATTTAGTTGCGGGACATGTTGTCAGATCGGTTCCTAATTCGATCGCCCGGTTGGTAAGCTCTTTTCCTTGAGCCTTGGGCCAGTATCTGGTAATGTCCCCAATGGTCGAAGCCTTATCCTGAGATGCTCAGAGCTCGGGCTTCTTGTGGACACCCCGAACCCCCAATTTGGTAAGTTAGTTCGCAAGTTAGACTCGCATCATCAATATCGTGCTTTATTTATAAGTGACACTTGATCGGGGTATTGCCAAGACCCTTTGGCCGTTTAGCCGCCTTAGCTGGTATTGAATACCTTGTCTAAAGCATGGCCTGGTCATGTGACGAACACGTCGCGTCTTGGTTGTAAACATTATTCAACAATTCGAAAGGTCCGTCTAAGGAGAAACTTCCTTAGACCAATAATCAACAGAGTGCGTCTTAGCTTATTCCATGCCCCTGTGTCCAGCTGAATATGGCACCCAAGAGGATAATAAAATACCACATTGAAGCATGAGGTATGGGGTGTCCTGAGTGTTAATAGTACAATTTTCCGCTATAACTACATGATACAAGCCAAAAGGATTTGTTTTGTGAGAGTTTCCATCAATGAGGGTTGAATAATAGGGCAAAGTGCAATTTTATTATATGGCCAAATTGCGATGTTTTGCACAATCAGGAGGTGATACATTGCCTGGAGGGTATCTTTGTAGCCTACAGGAACAAGTGGAAGCATCCAGGAGCTATTTTAATCGGTATATTCCCAAGGTATTCTGGCCAGAATATAATTGATCAATTTCGCCATTTTCACCATATTATTGGACTGTAACAGGCTCACTATGCTCCAGTTGGCTGTAAGACACCTGTAAGAACATCAATACACAGTTATATCATCCAAAACGGTTCAATTATGGCCTAGGGAGCGATAATTTCCTTTTTGGGACGAGAAGTGGTAGTGTCCCAAAAAGGAAAGTCATCGGCCAAACCCCTGATCCCTATACCCATCTTGTAGAGCTCATTGAGGGCTACAAGAGTTGTTAAGACCATTTTTCGCCCAGTGCCCCTGCTGGCCCGCAAAATGCAAAATATTTTCCGAGAGCCGGTGCTTTTTCAACCAATATTGGCTTTTAAAGCCACCAGGCATCAATTGCAACCCAATACGGCCCGCTATAGCACCCCAATACGAACAGCCATCAATCAAGGCAATGACCGGGCCCATCAGTCCCAACCCGATACGGACAGCCATCAATTTCAACCATTTTAATTGATTTATGATTTAATGACCTTTATTTCAAACTCCGACGGCCTCCAGAGCCGCCATCAACAGTGCCGGGAGCCCTTATATGAGGCACTATGGCTGTACGGCAACTCCCCAGATTTAATGTAATGGACGCTTAGGCAGTAGCCACCTGTTATTGTGTTCTGACCATATGAGCTGCACAATTCCGTAGAAGTCTGCACTTAGGCGCACGCGGGGGGGCATGGGTAAAGACATAACGCAAGGACATACATGCGACTACGGCGAGCCTTTTATACGGGAAATGTTAAGTGATCCGAGCGCATGGATCTCAGCTCCGAAGAGGACAGCATCACAATACTCCATTCCGTGGCTTCTCGTCCACAGGTTTCTTCATCCGTGCACAAAGTAGGGCAAGGGCTTCCGGGTATAATGCCTGGAGGTCCTCCTTGCAAACAGTCAGCGGTATGGGACATCGCCGGCGGAGACTGTACCATGTCTGCCAGCAAACCCTCCACACTCTCTCTCTGGACCCCGATTACCTTTCCATCTCTATCCGTTTCGACAACGAGCGCTCCTTCCACGCGAGAAAGCGCCAGCAAAGTGGCTTCGATAACTCACTGCGCGTCCGTCCAGAGGGGGGTAGTGGCCTTCACGGAAAAATCAAGCACGGGGTTGTCGTTGATAGGAATACGTTTGTAATTCCGTGGGGGCTGCCGAGAAGGAAACACCACCTCGATAGTACGGTGCGGGTCGTACTCCTCGAACTCAAGGAATATCGGGTCTTTGGAGATACGAAAGAGCGCAACGGATTCCGCGCACTCCTTCAAAAAGAACTCCACTTGCGAAATCGCTAGGCCGAATACACTGACTCCGTGGATGTCAGGCGCACCGTCTCCGTCAAAACCAACCGCGTAAAGGAGTATGGAGATCAAGTAAAACATCCACGTCGATTGCGGCGGGGTGTTATGGCGACTGAAGTTGGACCGCAGCTCATTCTGGCGAAGCCGTGCGGCATAATACTAGGAAGCAGCGGTTAAACACGGTCGCCTGAATATCTGGACAACATCGCATACCATGTGGTCTACAATTAGACGTACGCAGACGCGCACTTCATGGAGATCCTTCGTGGTCAGTGAAGGACACGTACGCGTGGCCCAACGGTCCTCCAGCACGGAAATCGCCACAAGAAACACCTTGAACCGGAGGTTACGATAAAGGAACCCCGCTAGGCCGCCAATCGGGACGTCAAGGCTTTCCGCAGGAAGGGGATGAATTGTAGAATGGAAGCGACCAATGGCAGAGGCATCCATCTTCAGAAAAAGTTCTGATTCCGACCTACGGATGGGTCATATTTATACGTGGCGCCAACCGGGGACGGTCGGCATTCAAAAGTGGGGAGGAGATGTGAGCTATCACTTTGTGATACGCTCCCTCCGTGGCTGAAAAAGGCAAATACGCACTACGGAGCACGCACAGAAAAAGGAAGCAAAAACGACCTGACCCCGAATCGAACGAGGGACTCGCAATTACGCAATATTGTGAGGAGAACTACAAATGCGCGCATTACCAGTTACACCACCAGGTCTACACTACGAGACGTCAAAGAAAAGGTGTCGACCCACGGTTGATTCTCTCCTGTGGGAAAAAGTGTACACGACCTGACCTCGAATCGAACGAGGGTCTCGCAACTGTCATATTGCGCAGAAGTCGAACTACAAGTGCGCGCGTTACCATTACGCCACCAGGTCTACACTACAAGACGTCAAAGAAAAGGTGTCGACCCACGGTTGATTCTCTCCCGTGGGAAAAAGTGTACACGACCTGACCTCGAATCGAACGAGGGTCTCGCATTTCAATATTACGAGGAACACACAGTAAATGCGCGCGTTACCAGTTACGCCACCAGGCCTACCACTGCAAAAATCTCTAAATCGCCACGGTCCTCACGGAAATTAACAAATCGACATGATGCATACGCAGAACACGGAACGGTAAACATCGCCAACGCGGGGGTACTGCACGGAGTACGGAAAGTGTCGCCACGCGGTACATATCAAAGCTACGGAAGGAGGTGCGAGCTACGTAGTACGGAAATTGGGCACACGGGCAGCGACGTTACAGTCCGTGAGTTAGGTATCTCCTTCAAGCGCACGGGAAAGCATGGAGATCCCCGCCGCGAGGCAAGGAGGGCAGTGTTGAAAGGGGTCCGTGGATGAATGAGGAATAAGGTCGCGCGCGGCGGTCGGAAAAAAATTAGTATAAAAGCAGGGACGTCCGTAGAAGAATGCATCTTATTACCTCCCACTGCTCATACCTAAGCTACTCCCCCTCGATCGTACGGGGTGAGAATCTAGTCAAATACATACTCGCTCAGGTTGCGCCGCCCTCCGTGGGACCAACCAAGGTCAAATTGGGCCAAAGCTTCAATCAAGGAGGCTTGTCCGTAGTACTTCCGGCTTAATAGAACGAGCCAGAAGGAATTATAGAAATCATCGGCGTTGATAGCTCGTGTGGTTGTAGTACGCGCGGCGAAACTTCCAAACGGCCAGCAGCCCAACTTAGCAGCGTGTAACCGTTGGCTTGGGCCTCAAACGCAGATCCGTGCGCGGAGTACCACCCCCATCGTCGCGGAAGGCTTATCCAATTCGATTATAACCACTTCACGATTCATTCTCACCACTTCGCCACACACACGCCCACGGAATTGACACTCCTTGGCCGTACCACCACAGCGTAGAGAAAAAGCCGGGTTACGAAGGACTACGCTATAACCCGTACACGTTGTGTTCAACAGTTCTGAAGATACTGCTTGCCCAACCTATACGAGGCAAGGGGATAAGAAAAGGAACTATATAGCCCAGGCATCTCGACACAGAACAGTGTTCATCTTGCGGAGCATTGCCCTTCGCGCATGTGTAGAAAACCCTCCGATCGAAGCTTTCCTGGAAGGCTAGCCCCCCAACGAGGAACCTAGCGAGACTGTTCATTCCGTACGGAAGGAACTGTACCACCACCACCACCATTTTAAAATACATAACATTGCGTGTACTACGCTCCGCGACAGAGATATTTCCCTCTAGAGGACGAACTAATTTCGTGCTTTGCCTGACTATACCACACCCGGTCAGACAACTCACGGAACCGCAGTCCGTATCACACCGTGTGCGACCTTATTCCTCATTCGTCCACGGACTTCTTTCGACACTGCCCTCCTTGCCTCGCGGCGGGGATCTCCATGCTTTCCCGTGCGCTTGAAGGAGATACCTAACTCACGGACTGTAACGTCGCTGCCCGTGCACCCAATTTCCGTACTCCGTAGCTGGGGCACCTCCTTCCGTAGCTTTGATATGTGTATTTTTCCGCGTGGTGACAATTTCCGTACTTCGTGCAGCACTCCGCGTCGGCGATGTTTCCCGTTCCGTGTTCTGCGTATGCATCATGTCAATGGTCCTCACGATTTGAGGATTTTTGCAATGGTAGGCCTGGTGGCGTAACTGGTAGCGCACGCATTTGCAGTACTTTTCCTCGTAATATTCAAATGCGAGACCCTCGTTCGATTCGAGGTCAGGCCATGTTGGGGAATGCATTCCTTCCTTTTTCTGTGCGTGTTCCGTAGTGCGTGTTTGCCTTTTTCAGCCACGGAGGGAGCGTATCACAAAGTGATAGCTCACAACGGCAGCTATTGAGGTCCTATAGGAGATGGAGGGCAAAATACCTGATTCAATGTATTACCATCATTCAATATCCACAACCGCTCACGAATTGCAGGATGAAGACGTTGACCGTTCATATGACGATTATGGAGTGTGGAGACCTTCTGGAAAAGCACGCTCTAAGCGAAATATTGGAGATAGTAATACAAATGATTTGCCGTCGACTTTAGGTCGCCAACCCAAAAAGAGGAAAACAAGCAGTCTTAACACAGTAGGCAATCACCGATTTGGCAATATAATGGTGGACCGCGAAGAACTACCCATTGGTTTGATATGGGATGCAATAGATCACAGCTGTGCATTTGATGCTACCTTCACCATATTCTTTAATATATGGAAAGAATATCTTGTAAAATGGTCAGATAAATTTCGACAACTTAGTGGTTTGATGTCTGTTCTCGCTCTCATGTTAGAAGACTATTCCAGAGGTATTTTAACCTTAGAGCAGGCTCACGACACTGTTAGAACCTGTCTGCATGGGCAAGCCCCAGAATACTTCCCATACGGCACTGTGGGCACTTCAAGTGTTAAATTAATAACCACAATGTTTTATGTAGATCGGACTCATGCGGTCGGTCATTGTGTATGCTGAAGATGTGAATATGCTGACAACAGAGAACAGCACATTTTTAATTCATATATTTGTGCTATACCCAGCCATTCACAAATTGATCAGCATCCAAATGGTATACCTGTGTCAACCTGGCTTGCAGACCACTTAAAAAGTTCACCTTCTAGATGCCCTAGATGCCTTCTGAGTAGGGTATCTTCTCAGCTGACGGTCGATTACAAAGTCACGTCAGTCCCCTGCTTGCTGGTATTAGCCCTGGATCGTCCCGGGTTAGATTGCTCCCAAACCGACATTCGATGTTGATGGCTCATTGAGTATATTGAAACTGAGAGGAGTAATTTATGGTGGGGATCATCATTTCACTTCGAGATATATAACTCCAACAGGTGGTGTATGGTTTCACGATGGTATATCCACAGGCAGATCTTGTGTTTTTGAGGGTGACTTAAATAACCTTCCAAATGGCCATCTAACCAGTGCAAGAGGTAAAATTGCAATTAACCTGATATATGCTCAAGTGTTGTAGCATGCATAGATGCCAACATAAAGTGATTTAACGATTAACTCTCCGAACATCCATGTCAGAGCGGCAACAGTATATATATGGATATGCTGAGGACAAGCCGTGAAGCGGCTTAAAAGGACTTATATTAGGGTGTGACACATGTGACACCACGGGTGTCACGAGGTCACACCGTACCCGTACCCGCGAAACCCGTCACCCGCACCCGTACCCGCACAATACCGCAATTTATAACCGCGGGTATTTAAAAATAACTGGAGCAGAGAAAATTGAACCCAAGAGAGTTAGGTTTGCCTCAAAAGATGGATCTAAGGTATATACAGCTAGACTAAAGAGCACTAATAATTTCTTTGGCTTGATAAGGCCATATTGAGTAGAATTGAGTGCAATCAAGGAGATGTGATTCCATCAAACATCCTACTAGAGGAGGTTCACAGTCTTTTGGACTGTGTCAATGGTCTATAGTCTACTTGGTTATCTCTCTTCTTCATATTTCTACTCAAACTGCTGAGATCATGAGTTCAATTCCCTTCTGCGGAACTTTTGGGGGTTCGGGTACGGGTTGCGGTATTCGCGGCATTGGAAAAACCCAACACCGCACCCGCACCCGCGGCACCCGTACCCGTACCCGTGTCACACACTACTTGTATTGCCATGTGGAGCAATGGCCCCAAGAATTAGTCTCAATGTTTATTTCAGCATTTGTCTTTGACATTTATGACTAATCAATGTGTTTTGTATAATAGATTGCAGGAATCTAAATTCATTCTCTTAAACAATCTGCGGCCTTGCCAGTGATTCGTGAAAACTCAAAATCAACATATTGGGTTTCTGCCAGTGGTGAAGGAGGCTCTTTGTGTACACGAAAAACTTGCTGATGTTCAGGCAATCAACGCTGATAGATGCCAAACTGCTCCGGCTGCCAAGTGGATGGTTGCAAGTATACACAAACCACTGAAAAAAAATCAAGTCAGTGTATATATTCAAGTCTTAGCCACCCTTGCACTTGACTCGGGATGGTTCGATGTAGCAGGTCAATCATCGGCTATTTGTTTCATTTTACATTTACCTGAGATGTTATGTCCGTGCAAATCAGTCTTTCATTTTTTCCCATTTATCGGTTCTGGTCGCACTCAATCCAACTCTGATTGTGCTCCCGTCACCTCCGGACACACAATCACGCACTACATCAGACCCTGCACCACTCCGGTAATACTCCAGCACCACTCCAGCTCACTCCGGTCGATTAACAGTTCACCTGTTCCCGGACCTATCCCGGAATACATAGCTCTTGTCCAATCATGGATTGCTGAGTACTTCTACCTTATTACCTACTTCACCTTATCTTGGCCACCTCCGGCCTCACTCCTCACCCCGTTCACCCTCCGGTCATCCTGGTTAATCCCGGAACCTCTGGACTAGTCATCCAGCCCTGACCGGATCTCTGCGGTTCACCCATATCGCCCAGGAACATTCTACCTGAACATTCCACCTGTACTTCGCACTGGTCCTTCACTGTGATACAGGCTGTGGCATCTCCGCACTCCTTGGTACATTCCGGACCGTGATTATGTAATCACTCCGAACTCCGGTCCTCCACGTTCCTTGGTTCAGCTCCACTTCACCCACGTCGTCTCGGACCTCTGCCCCTATGCATTGGAACTCTCCTAAAGGACTGCCAATGTCCTCCGGAATGATTCCTTGCAACTATGTCCACTCCGGCGACCCGGAGCTCCCAAAACCACCAACACTTAACACCAGTACCTTGGAACTCGTTCATCTCGACTACCAACATGCCAGTCCAACATCTGGTACACTTATGCGCTATTCATCTATGCCCCATCACTCCTGCTCTCGTTCCAGTCGCTCCGGACATATCTCCGGAATCCGGAGATACCCGGAGTCACCGGAGTCATCAGACTCTCCCCGGAACGTTCGCTATTATGCCTTATCAACTCCTCTTCCATTTATGCATCCCTTATCACTTCTCATCTATTGTTTCAACGCTCTCATCACTTCTCCTTCTTATCTTTCCATATGCTTCACGCTTCCATCACATTCCCATCATTCCCCATCGCTTCTTCATCTGCCTCAAGGCAGAT